ATATTTTTTTCATATTTTCTGAAACTTTCATTATATCATGACAGTAGTACATGAATCCACCAGGCTGGGTTGGAGGCTTTTAGATGACTATTGAGTCTCATTCCCATTCCCAGGGTCCCAAATGTGTCTTTGACACGCTTTTAATGAGACTCAGCAAGACTGTCTCTTGGCTCTGATTGTTTGTTTTCAATATATATATATTTATTATTATTTTAGAGCTTTGGGCTCAGTAACATGTGGAACATCTAACGGGAACTGTAAGATGCAATTACATAAATCCTCATTTGGACAAAGAGCCTTTTCAGTTCAAGGCATTCTGAATAGATTTGACTGAAAAAATGTGTATTGAATGTTTTTGTGTGTACATTATTAAATATGAGACACAGGAAGTGACATCATGTTCCTTGTGTTTTTAGGTCCTGGACTTCCACCATCCTCACCAGCTGAAGGATGGACTGGAGGGCTTCAGTCTGATTCTGCCAGACCAACCGGAAACTCTGGAACAGATACTGGTGGACTGTAGGGACACACTCAAGTATGGCGTCAGTACAGGTAAGTGTGTGTGTGTGTGTGTGTGTGTGTGTGTGTGTGTGGAAACTCTGCTTATGTGGAAGTCACTCAGCAGTAAGATTTGTATGATTCACCTTGGATTTAACATCTGCTTCAAATAGACTCACATAGTTATTGATTTTTAATCATTGTGCTCTCCCAATGCCACTGTCACTGGTATAGTGAGAAGAATTCTGAGCTCAGTCTAACTGTTTGTCTAGAAAATGGAGGGTTTTGAAGTCCTTTGGAATTTCATCTCTGATAGGCCTTTTCCACCAGCAGCGAAGTTGGTTCCCAACTGCAATCCAAAAATAGCAGGTCCACACACCTAAAACTAGTAGCATGCAAAAAATAAAAAAACAGATTGTGCATTGTGCCAAACCTTGTGTTTATGACACATCCTTGATTTCATCCTTGATTCTTGGAAGTGAGGACAAGGTTCAGGGAATCTTGAATGGAAGAACCAGAGCCAATTGGTGGAAAAACTAGTATCAGTATCAGTAGCTCTGTCACTGCTGCAGTGCCTTCGCAGATTTGTCATCTATTTCACACAGTTCAGTCAGATTCAAAGTGAATTTGAACAGGTTATCAAACTACTGCATTTAACTACATGCTTGACCTTGACCCATGACCTTTGTTTGTCCAGGCCATCCCCGTTTCTTCAACCAGTTGTCTTCAGGTCTGGATGTGATTGGTGTAGCTGGAGAGTGGCTGACCTCTACAGCCAACACTAACATGTAAGATCAAATCATCGCTAGTGGAAAGTAACTAAGTTTATTTACTCAAGTACTGTATTTAAGCACAGTTTTGAGGTACTTGTTCTTCACTTGAGTCCCCATTTAATCCTCTCACATGGTTTCATTTAAATAACTGTTTAAGGTAAGATAAGATAAGAGAAAAGACAGACAAATGAACAGAGATTTATGTAGCAGAACTTGAGGGAGTCTAGGTTGGGAATCACTGGACTAACTATATATATATGAAGTAGTTTAAACTAGTACCACCTTGATCAGTAACAACAATAAAATGCTGCTTATACAATGTGAATACAGTAAGTATTAGCAATCTAATATTATCATATAATAAATACACTATATCACAGTTTAAGATAGATTCAAGTAATTTTTGGGGGTCCAATGAAGAAAAACTTAACAATCTGTCCTTGAAGAGTATATACTACTGGCTTTTGCCTGTCTAACGTTATTGCTTTTATTCCATTTTGTTCATTGTTTTTATTATATGTTTCTTGTTTTGTTTGTGCTTTTGCTCGTGGACTGGTTGCTTTGGGTATGAAATATGCCATATAAACAAATTTGCCTTAAGTATACTCAGCTAATACTTGTAATAGAATTTAATACGACTTTTACTTGTAGTGGAGTATTTGTACATGGCGGCTTGCTCCAGTGCTTGCTCCAGCATTCAGATACTGATGTGAATTTGAATGGTCAAGAGAAGAGGAGCTGTGGTCTGTTTCTCATAACCGCAATTTGTCTTTTCAACCACAACATTTTCAAACAAAGCAGATGAGTCTTTATCTGTTACCATCTTTCCACTGACTTTGCATGCATTCTCCACCTTGTATAATGCACCTACAAACAAGTGATGGGAATTCTGTCTCATTCGCAATAAAGAACCTTTTTTGGGTTCCCAAAAGACTCTTCATTTAGTTCCATGTCTGGCTTTTATGATTCAGCTACTTTAGCAATGTTTTGACCTATGATTGATTGATATGTGTGCTCATATATCACTTAAGGTATTCAGAGTAACTATACTAAACTTAATAATTTTAAGAATAACATAAATTTACATAATGCTTAGTTAATACCTTAAATAATATAAAATTAGCCAAAACTATTGCACATGTATTGAATATTTTATTGGTATTCGATTATTGCCGACCTCCACTACATACAAAAGTATCACCAACACTTATTACCAAAGTGTCAAATACATCATGGGATCATCTTATTATTCTGTCTTAGCCTAATGATGACGATGATAATACAATATGAGATGTTATCATGTAAAGTACATTATGATTTAATATGTTTCTTTATCAGGTTTACATATGAAGTGTCTCCTGTTTTCCTCCTCATGGAGGAGATTCTGCTGAGGAAGATGCAAAGCATTGTGGGATGGTCTGACGATGACGGAGATGGAATCTTCTGCCCAGGTATACATGCAGGGAAGGTACGGCAGAAATGGATGAACTGTTATTATTAAGGCAGATAAAGCAACACTAAGCATCTGTAGATACAGAAGGTTGTAACAGGTACAACATAGAGCGTGGCTGCTACTTGTCTATAAACTACATTCTGTTTCCTGAAGGAGGCACAATATCCAACCTGTACAGCATCGTGTTGGCCAGATATCACTTCTACCCCGAGGTGAAAACCAGAGGGATGGGAGCTCTGCCTCAGCTGGCCCTCTTCACTTCCGAACATGTAATCACATCTCACACACTAAATAACTACACCTAAATAACATTTTAGTGCTGGTTACACACAAAAAATAAGTAAGGATACATAAATATTAATAGAATTGCTGCTGTAATGATTTGATGAAACATAATCGCTTGACTCTTCTAAAAATGTGGTGCTAGAACTTAAACTTGATACGTAACTTCACTCACTTCCCGCATATCTGGAAGACACTATAGATTGTAATGCTAACTTTTGGTGAAATCCACAGATAATCCACAATAAACCCCTAAATGTGTATTTTGGATGTTTTCTTTCACTAGTCTATGGAAGCAAAAGAGCCCAAAATCTCAAAATTGACCAGTGTGTAAAAAAACAATGTTTTTCCCTGTAGTATATCCTCTTAATGGTAATGTGAAGTATAAATGGTTTCAGTCTCTGGAGGTATAAAAACAAATTGGTCAGTAAACATTAGCATGGGCATGCATATTGCATATTGTGTTCCCCGAGGATTTTGTCATAACATTCTGAGATTACGAATCTGATCTTCCGACAACTCAAAGCACTTTTACACTACATGCCACATTCACCCTTTCACCCACATTCACTCAGTGATGGCTAATCCCATCGAACAGCAACTAATGCATTCA